GACTAGATTCAGTTTATCGTGAACCGTTATTATCCATTTTTGCCAGTTTTTAGTGTACTGTATTTTTTCACGGTCTTAGGCTTTTGCTGGCATCTATACAACAGTTTACGTCAGTATAGTCAATAGAAATGTATGCAAACGATCTGGATGCCGTTTCGCCGTTACATCTTGCATGCAGTGCAACAACCGCAAAGGTTGGGAATGCCGTGCCTAACTCCTCCTACAACCGCTAACCAGATTAGATCAGTCACTTGTCGATATATTAATAATCAATGAAATATATTTTCGAAGCTCTTCGCTTCTGACTTCTGATTTCATTGGGTAGCACGTTTCGATTATAGGTGTTACTTTTAAATGTGACGTCAAACTGCATATACTTGTGGCATTTTCAACTCGCTATCATATAATTAATTGGTTCACCCATGAAAAAAGACTCGCCGCTGAATTAAATTTATTTTTCTAGTCGTTTGTTATGCATCACAGCTACTGTTTTCTCCAATTTGGATTTGTCTCCGTTTAAATGACCGAAAAATGTATTGTTTTTCTCGAAAGTAATTTGAGTACCTTGGTGCTTTTTGTATTTATTTACATTCTCGCTTACTTAGGTTTTTTACGCCTTATGGAAAGGCATAGACTGACCAAAAGCACTCTGCATCCATGAATTTAATAATAACGATTACAGACACAAGCACAGGATGTCTTTTATTGGTTACATGATTTAAATTTGAAGAACACCATGTTTCAGAGAGAGGAGCATGTGACCCACTTTTAATCATAAATATTTGTAAAGTCTATAAAATCAGTATTTCATTTGTTTTATCAACAAAAGTACAAAACCGAGAAAATAAGTTATCAATGTATTAAAACATGCGCTCAACACGTGTCGACTTTAAACGTGACACTACGGTGGAAATCCTGAATCCTTTTAAGACCTTCTTTGCAGTAACTTTGAAGCCAAAATCCTTCAAAAAAATAAAGGACGAGCTCCTACATCCGATCACTCTAAATTTTGTAACTAATAGTCAGAGTCTTTGGTTCCCGTTGCTCAGAGTCACTCAAAATGAAGCGGATACATTTACTTCATCCTTATTTGGAATTTGGGTTTCTAAAGTGCCTTGTGAAACATTTTTATTTCTACTAAACCCATATTCTCTTGAAATGCATAATGAATGCCTGGTCTTTTATATTGCCAATAACACTTACTACCGCTACTACCACTGGATTAACCCCGATAATTTCATTTCGCAGAGCTAATAGGATGTGGCGATCTGGACCTATATGTCAGGTTCTATGTTGCGTTTGATTGACTGACACTACTTTTAGGTGTCCTTTTTTATAATTACTAATCGTTATCAATTTTCTATGATTCTTGGGTGACTTTATGGAACTTCGTTTTCCAATTCGTGGATAAGAATAAAATGCTTCCGTTTATCCATTTACACCTGATTATTACTATATCCGGTAAGTAAAAGTCATTGCGAAACTTATCATACATAATCATAACTAAATACGAATTATAAATGGATTTAACACACTAGCATTGGTTGATTTTAAATAAATTATTATGAGTAATTTGATCAAGTGAAATTTTCACCGTCTTTCTAAAAAATAGATAAGACGAAATTGGACTACAGAGATCCTTCCCTAGAGGATTTATTCTAAAAACTAAAAACTCGATCTAAATTTAATAACGTGACCTATAAATAGTGAAATAAATGGCCACAGGAACTTCCATAAGAAGAAGCATTATCACATAGCCCCCAAATGCCCTGGCACGGCCGAGAGTGGGGAGAGTCCGCTCACCCTCTCGAAATGCTCTCACATGGCCAGCGAATATATAGCCTCTGCCAGGGAAGTCCTACTCACTACCTTCTCGCGGCGGGGTTGTTGTTTACGAAAGTGAGAGGACGAAGAGCGAATGTCCGGCGCTTTAACCGGGTTGGTGGACACGGAAAGTCCACCTAAGGAAGTTGGAAAACCCTGATTCCAAACCAATGGTGTACATGGGCTCCAGGATCCTGATGGAACGAAGGGCGTATGAACCTATTGTTGGTCACCGGCTACCATGGGACTGCATCTCCTCAAGATGCTCCACTGCCTTGTGGATTAGACTTTTAGGTCAAAGGCTCGGGGTGTGGCCCCCTAAGAAAACCACCTGCTTCAGTTTGGGTACCTGGGCAGTATCTCAGCCCTCACACAAATCAGATGAGATTTGTGAGGCGCATATTTATTTGGTGCTTTTTGTACCAATATTTATGTGTTTAAATAAATAATAATAATAATAACATAGCCTTACAGCTAGTCGGGAAAACTTCTGTTTCAAATAAACTAGTATAATATTACGAACCATAAAACAGGTACATGAATGAAGTTTTTATTATTTGTGGTAAAAACAGATTTGATTCATATCCTGCAAATAGACACTAACAGAGTGGGACCTAGAAAAATGTTTACTGATCTAAGCCTCTAAATCTTATTTCAACACGAGATCAATAGGAGAAAAACCAATAGGTAAAAAAATACGTGACAACATTAGTACAAGAGAAATAAAAAATACGATGAAAAACGAATGTTATAGTGAAACAGAAAGGAAAGAATTACGAAATCTTCACAAGGAAAATGAAGCGCAAACATTCATACCATTGTGAGTGACTTTGGGTATCAATACATAATGTCAAAAACAACTAAATTAAATAGTAATAAATAAATAACAGGCTAGTAATTCCCTAGTTTTATGAGAAAGTGACAAAGACTGGCAGCACATGGAAATCAAGTTAAAGAAAGTCCTCATTAAATCAAATTATAATTGATCAGAATTAGTGATTAAAGGGTTGCAACAGAAACTTAGTTCTACTACACATAAGCCAGTTTCGAGGGGCCATTGGGAATAGGTACCGATTATGATCCCTATTGATGAAACAATTAGCCCCTGTTTTTGTCTCGAAAATGGTGTTTTACTTGAGAATTCAAAGATTACTCAATTACTAAAACACAAAGAAGGAAGATTGCCAGCTTTGGAGATCCTATGCATTGAAAGCGATTTTTTGACCGAGTGCTTTCCAACAAACTAAATAACAGAGTGAGCATCTAACGATTTAAACGTATATATTAACCCACCTATCCCATTACGGTTAGGCATATCAGTTAAGTGATGAGCGTTCAATCCAGATAGGTTCGAAAATTACACCTGAGGTACCAAGAAGAGCTACAATGGCACAATTTGTAAAATCGAATTACTTCATCACAAAAAACCCATTTCGGATGTTGTGCATTTTCGCCATGGCTTTTAGTTATTGCTGTTCACTTGAAGAACCTCATAATATGTACAACTGGAAACTCACCGAGAACTTCCATACTATGGCCTCAATTCCTAACAACTTCAACCTTTTATTACACCACTCACTTATTACTTAGCATCAAAACACTGATGCGCTAGTGTCCAGATAACATTCTGTTTTCCGGAAAATATTTTACATTACAGAATCTTATCCACATTTATGGGTTTATTAAGTAGACTTAGTGTGTTTCATTAAGCTTCACGTCTAAATAACATGTCTGAACATTTTCTTGATAAATACAATATAAGTTTTCTTCTACCTTAAATTTGCTTTTGTTAAATTATTTCACGAACTAGACATATAATTCTCTCCTGAAGTGTTCTTCATGAATCTTTTTTCTCTTTCCAAACTTATTCCACTGGATTACACTCCTTGAATAACATCTTCAAACTCTAATCTTTCCAACTACTGCTTATACTCTTACTATTTCTACCACTATGGGATTTGAATCGACAGCTGCATCTCTGTGCTAATGTGGTATGGCAACTCGAACTGATATACGTACGTACGAAGTTCTACATTGTGACTGACAGACTCCTGAAGTGTCTATTGTGGAGCGAATCGACAACAATATAAACAAATGCTAATAATTTCAGGAATTAGTTGTAAAGACATTCAAATAGAAAAACAAAGTGGTACTAGCTTCGCTACATTTACAACGTTGACTTGATTTCTGGGAAGAAATAAAAAATATATAAAATACACTGACTTTACATTTGACTAACTATTGATGTCCGAAGCCATTCAGACCCATAATCTCCCTAACAATACACCCAAGGTGTTATAATCCATCTAGATAAAAGTCTTCAGAGAAGTATATGTCAATCATAACTTCTGTCTTCCATGTTCATACAATTTTCGTCAGATAATGAGTCGTGCATATTCAGTAGTGGGTCATGAACTCATTTGAAAAACCTCTTTTGTTCACTTTGCCTGTGCGATGAAAATCGATTTTAAAAGAGTAAGTTGGTGGATATAGACAGATCATCAAACAGACTAGTGACTCTATGTATGAAGCACAAGAAGAAAAAGAACGGTTTCGTACTTTCATCTTTTGAAGTATAAGAAAATTAATTGAATGTATGATAGATACCTGTAAAAATCATTACTTAAGTTGAACATTGTGGCTAATACTATCCTTTCAGTAGCTGCAACACAAAAATGAAAGAGAAAAAGATAAGAATGAGGGCAAAATTCCTCCAGTTAAACGTTTCTAGCTCCTAAGATAACCATTGGAGTAGCCACCGCAGTCCAGTAAACCTGATTCGAATACTTAGAGAGCTTTGTTGCACACACATAAATTCCTACATAAAGAAATTCACTCTCTAGATGCATGAACCAGCAAACTAATTTTGGGAATAGAATGCCAAGCTACAGCACTTGCTGGTTCTCGATGGTTACTTAATGTTAACAGGAACGTCGAATTTACTAGATGTCACTCTAATATTTACTGAAGCAGACTGAAAATTTACAGGATAACTTGAGTTCAATAAATAAGTCGTTATTTACTTGTCCGGCAAGCACTTAAGAGACCGAAAAGACCTTTGAGATTAACTTCGAAAAAAGCATTTATACTGTTCACTTGTGCAAATCATATGACTTTCTCTAGTTATACGGACCAAAAGTTTAAGATAATAAAGAGACCAATGCTGAATATCTCACCGAGCTATAAACACTGTCTGATCGACTAACGTCTTCAGCCCGAGAACTACCAGTATGAGAGTTTGTCGATGAACCAGAAAAATAACGTGAACCACTTTTAGTTGTGTTAGTCTCTTCAGCATCAACTAAATGAATGATTAAGATTATAATTTTTAGTTCACCTTTCCCTCTATACTTAGCAGAAACCCCAAAACGCGGAATATTTGCCATAGGACGTAGCGTACAATGTTGAAAGACACACGCCTATCCAGTCTACCGTAATAAGTATTGTCGGTCAGCCGATCAGTATCAATTCTGCATATCAAATAACTTATTGAAACCCACACATAATCCCTAAAATTTCATTTATAATCTGGTTAATGCCGATCATATAGTAAGTGACACATACGTTTAACAAATGTTTTAACCACAATCAATGCTGAATCTTCTCTTTTTTGTGATAATATTTTGGTACTTTTATCCGTCAATATCTGCATTCATGAATTTCCACCTGTCACAAGGATAAGGTACAGGATGAAGCAGTAAATACCCCCCCAAAAAGAAGTTTCTGTATGTACTTGACATTATTGCTGACCTCATTAGTTTTGCTGGAGACACAACAGCTGAAGGCTCATGGTCACACATCTGCACTAAATCATAAGTGAGTATGCAGTGCTATGCATCCCTTGTAACTACTAGCCAGCTTAGACCAAACTCTTTCCGATGCATCAACAGCTTTACAAAAATGTCTTCAAACTCTCTCGTTTCTGACTTCTGATTGAACTCGATTATAAATGCGTTTTCGAACTTCCGGTACCTGACGCATCTTTAAGGACTTATTATTACTTCATATTATCATTGAAACCCAACCAGTGAAGGCTCGTTCCCTCCGTCTAACCCCGGAAAATTCTGCTGAGAAAGCCTGATTTGAGAATAAGATGTAGCTGAGAGCCATTTGAACTTCTCATTGCCGTTAGGAATCATCAGGGCCCATGGTAGAGGACGAATGAAGATTGCTAGTTGTATCATAAATTTAAAGGTTTAAACAACTTAGTAGTACCAGATAGGGATTCTGCTACATATATTTTCAGATTCTTATTAACTTTTAACAGAAAAACGACTTCTCTAAAATCCATTTAGAGTGAGATTATCACGAGATCCTGATTAGTCCCGTTGGTCTTCAGAGTATACCAGTCATAAACGCTTTCGTTCTTCTCGAGTTACCTTGAACGCTATTTGGCGTTAAGCACGCTGAATAAACATTCTTGGGATTTATGGAGCCGGTTGACAAAGGTTTAGGATTCATTGTCGATTACTTCTAAATCGCTAGTAGCTTCCCGGTACATTTCAAAACTTTACACCAGTTATCCGGGTGATCCAAACTAATTTATAGTGGCATATATTTCTCCCAGAACGGATACACTCCATTTTTGCAAGTATCATCTACGATTTACAACATTGATTTGCATATAAGATGCTTCGTAAGTAGGACCGATAAAAAGATGAAATCATATAAAACAAAATGCTGTGCATTCATACAAATGCCGCAGAGTTGATAACTATGTTTGTGCTTTAGTGTTGCACTTTGAGCGCAGGTAATACAGTGTCTCAAAAATAGCATCGCTCCCACGTTGCAACCATCACATTGTTCACCAAGTTCAAACTCGGCATCATTGTGTTGTAATTCCCGTCCTGCTAAGTATTTATTCAACACATTTTTAGGAAGTTTATAGTCATTATAAACTGAAATTAAAGTGTGCCTGGTATGAGCTGTAAACATGAAAGGCGCGTATGTTATGTTTGCCTCAAACCCTAGAAGATCCATAGCTGTGTACTGAGGGCGTGATGCTGAAAAAAGAAACAAAGAGCAACAGGACACTCAGATATAAACTCCCAACAATGCTCAACAGTTTCTAGCGGAACAGTCAAAGGTAGGTTAGACTAGTAGATGAAACTCATACTAGCTGTTATCTCTAGAGTGCAGTGTGGTTAAACCTTCATGTAAGTGAATATAATAATAAAGAAAAATGAGTTGTGACGTGTAACAAGGTAGAGTTTGTTCAAGTGATACAAAGTAAGTTGTTAGAGTGAGGAATGCTATTTATTAGTATAGAAAACGCATCACGAAAGCAAAGTGTTAAGAAACAGTAGTAACTAAATCTTTTAATGCCTGTTGCTTTTCATTTTTAACCTGATGCCAGCCACTTTGTCGTAATGCAAAAGTCTAGGTCAGCATCATATAGAATATCTTAGTAGAATAAGGAATTTGATAAAAAAAATCCGAAACATGAGTCTAAGTAGATAGTGTAGGAGAACAACATCACTTATTTAGTCTCTTGTCCCCATTCATAAGGAACCTGAAACAAAAAGTGTTCTGCACCACTAACATGAATGGATTTAAGTTATCAGAGGTCAGGTTTCATGTTGTTTTGTTACTGGTACATTCGCAGCAAAATATGACCGTGGTATCCATGATATCACAAGGCCACGATTCTTATGTAACATCACTTTTTTGATCATTTTTTTAAACAACCGTTCACTAGATATAAATCTGAGGGAGAGGAGCCTCATATGAGGTAATTTTGTTTTAATCATCAAATCAACAGTCTTCTGCAAACTGATTTACCGTGGTAGAAAATTGAGACTGTAGAAATCATTTTGGTCGAACTCATCGTAAGCTTCTAGTACACTATGTTCTTCTTGGCAGTGAAGTGAAGGCACTGAAAATTAGCAAGGCAAGAGTCCTAAAAAGATATCGGAGGTTAGTTAATCATTATGTAGAACATCTACGTTGATGTTGGGGGCCTACTATAGTTAGACGAGAATGGTGACGAACCAACTAACGCTGGAGTCACACCTCGCGACCAGCCCTTACGTGGATTGAACCATTGACGCATCAAAGGATCATGGACGCTATGGAGACTGTACAACACAAAGGACGTTATTACAAGAATATATTAGTTAAGTACAGACGTGAAAGAACAACCACTGCCATTCCACTGCAGTCTGTGCCAAACTCTCCGTCAGAATGTCGAGTCTGCGGCGCACTGACCTCCATAGCTCCGTCGACCTGCCGAGGCACCTACCTCCGCATCCACCCGGCACCTGGGACGTTCAGTATCCGTACTCCACCGGCCTGCTGAGCCATCTACATCCGATGTCCGCCCAGCAGCCGCACGTCCCACTGCTCCTCTCCGTCGACAGCACCCGCTACAGCCAACGCCGCCCCGCCAGAAGACTCCACTCGACGCCACCTCTCCGCACCAGACTGCCCCAACTAGCACCTCAACTCCAGACCCTCGGCGGCGTCCGCAGAACAGCACCCTTCCTCCTCCTGGTTGGCAGCGTCACCAAATGTAGTGAACAAAACACGACAGGACAACGCCAGTCCATGGCGTATATTGATTGATGCGCGTTGACCATCCTTGACGTTGACAGGGATCAATGATCTGTTCGATATTCAGTGACCCCACAATTAGGATTGGAGTACGATTCCAAATGAGGAAATAAGGAGGAATTAGATTCAGCTGTCTATTCCGTCCTTACGGACATTAATTTGTTACAACTTATGTATAGTGTCAAAAATTATTACTCAAGTATTTATTTACTTCTTTGTGTACCCATTTTATTTGCAACCATTGTACATTGAATTTTGAAATTTTTGGGTTTTATTCCAAGATTTAATAAACCCTTATTCATGTTTCCCGTGTACATAAAACGAGGGGTCTATCTGCACGAAATTGGTGAGCTTGATATTGAACACAAAGGCTGTGTGCATTTACACTTACCAGGTCATATTTACCAGTGTTTGTTATTTGAACAAAGTAATAACTCCGAAGTACGTAAATGCTTGCACGGCTTATTGAAGAACCAAAACAGATAATCACGACCATAATCGATTAATTATTTTATCGACCAAGCTTGAATACTCAATGTGAATCCTCATTACTAGTACAATGAGAGAATCCATGTGAGTATAGCAGAACAAACAAATGAAATACTGATTTTATAGACTTTACAAATATTTATGATTAAAAGTGGGTCACATGCTCCTCTCTCTGAAACATGGTGTTCTTCAAATTTAAATCATGTAACCAATAAAAGACATCCTGTGCTTGTGTCTGTAATCGTTATTATTAAATTCATGGATGCAGAGTGCTTTTGGTCAGTCTATGCCTTTCCATAAGGCGTAAAAAACCTAAGTAAGCGAGAATGTAAATAAATACAAAAAGCACCAAGGTACTCAAATTACTTTCGAGAAAAACAATACATTTTTCGGTCATTTAAACGGAGACAAATCCAAATTGGAGAAAACAGTAGCTGTGATGCATAACAAACGACTAGAAAAATAAATTTAATTCAGCGGCGAGTCTTTTTTCATGGGTGAACCAATTAATTATATGATAGCGAGTTGAAAATGCCACAAGTATATGCAGTTTGACGTCACATTTAAAAGTAACACCTATAATCGAAACGTGCTACCCAATGAAATCAGAAGTCAGAAGCGAAGAGCTTCGAAAATATATTTCATTGATTATTAATATATCGACAAGTGACTGATCTAATCTGGTTAGCGGTTGTAGGAGGAGTTAGGCACGGCATTCCCAACCTTTGCGGTTGTTGCACTGCATGCAAGATGTAACGGCGAAACGGCATCCAGATCGTTTGCATACATTTCTATTGACTATACTGACGTAAACTGTTGTATAGATGCCAGCAAAAGCCTAAGACCGTGAAAAAATACAGTACACTAAAAACTGGCAAAAATGGATAATAACGGTTCACGATAAACTGAATCTAGTCTTTGCGTGAAAAACTGAAAAAGAAACAGAACAGTAAGCTGAGGAAAAACCACAGTTAACTATTAGGTAGAGTGCCCCGAATGCACTAATACGGCCAGGGAAGTTTTACTCACCGCCTTCTCGTGGCATTACTATTGTTTACGAAATTGAAAGGACGAAAAGCTAACGTCCTGCGCTTTAACCGGGTCGGTGGACACGGCGAGTCCACCTGGGGGAGTTGGAAAATCCTGATTCCAAACCAATGGTGCACATGCGCTCCGGTATCTTGAAGGAACAAATGGCGTATGAACCAATCGTTGGAAACCGGCTACCATGGGACTGCATCTCCTTACAATGCTTCACTGTCCTGTGGATTAGACATTTAGGTCAAAAGCTCCGGGTGTGGCCCCACCAAGAAAACCACCTGCTTCGACCTGGGCACCCGAGCAA